CCTCCTCCTCCCCGTCCTGCCCCCTCTGGTGTGTCCCACGTCACCCCCCTTCCGTCGGTGGACCCGGTTGAGGAGTCTTCTGACTCTGGTGGCCCTCCTGTGCAGTCCTCGTCAGCCGCCCCTCCCCTGGCGTCCCCTCCCCAGTCCCCTCCTCCACCGCCTCTGCCGCCGCTGCAGCCGTCGTTGCCGCTGCCGCCGCCGCCGCCGTCGCAGCACCCGTTCGCTGACTCTGGGGGTGCTCGTCCCTGTAGCACTGGGGGTGGTCCCTCTGGGGGTGCTGGTTTGGAGAGTGCTGGTGGTAGCCGAGGCGCAGCTTGCGGTCCAGGTGTCGCCGTTGTGCCGCCCCAGCAGCAGTCCCCGCCGGTGTCAGCCCTTCGTCTGCTCGGCCTTCCGTCCCCCGACCCTGCGTCAGTTCCTCTCCTGCCGTCTCCTCCTCTTCTTGTCTACGGCCCTGTTTTCCCTCCGCCGGACTCGTCCCCGGCACGTCTCCCCCCTCGTTCCCCTCCTGTGTCCCCTCCTCTGTCTCCTGACCCGACTCCTCCGTCGCACGTCTGGTCTCACCGTCCCCCCCGTGCTCGTCCTGCCTCGCCTGTCTTGCGCTCCCACCCTATGTTGCTTCGTTCCCACGCGTCTCGTCCTCCCCTTCTGCCGTCGCCTCCTCCGTCCTCCCTTGTTGTTGCACCCCCCCCGCTGTCTGACTACCTTCGTGCCGCTCGTCCCCTTGTTCCTCGGGTCCTTGCCTCTCTCGTTACCGACCCGTCTGTTCCGGTCTCGTGCCTTGACGCTCTTGTCGCTGCTGTCGCTGACTTCGCCTCTACCCGCCGCCTTGACTACGCCACAGCTCTGGTCTCTGACCCTGCCTGTCCTCCGTCTGTCGGGGGTGCTCCTGCCCTTGGCAGTGACGTCCTGGAGGACCGCCAGTTCGAGCTTGCTTTCCTCTCCGAGGCTGCTCCCCATCTCTGTTCCATGCTGCTAGTCCCTGAGGGTGACCCAGACGCTTTCGACATCCCGACCCCTCGCACTTACGCTGAGGCGACCTCGGGACCCTGGGCCTCGCAGTGGATAGCTGCCATGGAGCAGGAGATGGCATCTTGGAGATCCACCGGCACCTTCGTCGACGCAGTTCCCCCGCCTGGGGTGAACGTAGTCGATGGCCGCTGGCTCTTCAAGGTGAAGCGCCCTCCTGGAGAGCCGCCTGTCTTCAAGGCGCGCTATGTGGCTAGAGGCTTCAGTCAGCGCGAGGGGGTGGACTTCTTCCAGACCTTCGCTCCGACCCCGAAGATGACTACTCTTCGGGTTCTGTTACACCTAGCTGCTCAGCGTGACTACGAGCTTCACTCCCTCGACTTCTCCACTGCCTTCCTTCAGGGCAGCCTACACGAGCAGGTCTACCTACGTCGCCCTCCGGGCTTTACAGGCACCTTCCCTCCTGGGACCCAGTGGCTCCTGCGACGCCCCGTCTACGGCCTGCGCCAGGCTCCCCGTGAGTGGCACGACACTCTCCGTGCTACGCTTGCTGACCTGCAGTTCTTTCCGTCTTCCGCAGACCCTTCACTTTTCGTTCGTGCTGGTCAGACCCCGTTCTACATCCTTGTTTACGTCGACGACCTGGTCTTTGCCACAGCAGACAGGGACGCACTGGCCTCCGTGAAGGCAGAGCTGCTGAAGAGACACACCTGCACTGACCTTGGAGAACTGCGCCGTTACCTTGGCCTGCAGATCTCCAGGGACAGAGCTGCGCGCACCATCACCCTGACTCAGTCACACTTGGTGCGCCAGGTCCTTCAGAGGTTCAGCCTTCAGTTCTCCTCTGAACAGCCCACCCCTCTGCCTGTAGACCACAGGCTCTCCGCTCCAGTGTCTGAGGAGTTGGTAGAGCCCAGCGGCCCCTACGCAGAGCTGGTGGGTTGCCTCATGTACCTGATGACTTGCACTCGCCCAGATCTCGCATACCCTCTCAGCATCCTGGCTCGTTTTGTGGCCACAGGCAGACACCGACCGCAGCACTGGTCTGCCGTTAAGAGGGTTCTGCGTTATCTTGCTAGTACATCGGGCATGGGGTTAGTGCTACAGTGGCGGATTAAATTGTCCACATGTTTTGCCTTTTTTGGCATTTTTATGAGTGCAGAGGCGTATACATTAAGCCTTAATGTACGGTGTGCATTAACGCTGAGAAGTTCAGTTAGAGCAGTCACTCCAGTGTTCAAACACCAAAGTAGTACCACACATGGTCCTTAAACTCCTAAGCATAGCATGGGAGAACATGTGGACAATTTGTACCGGAAAATGGTATCACACTAGATTCTAGGAAAACTAGTACCTAGTCCAGCGTCCCTTTGCCCGAATCACTACCTTGATCCTCCTCGGCAGGCTGTCGATCAGGTTTGCACACACCTCCGGCGGTATCTTGTCCCATTCCTCCTGCACCCTCTCCCACAGCTCCAGCATTCCCCTTGGCGGCTTTTCGTACTTCCCCAGCTGCCTTTTCAAGTATGCCCACAGGTGCTCAATTGGGTTAAGGTCCGGGGAGCACGACGGCCATTCCAGCACCGCGTACTCCTGCTCCCCAAGCCAGTCTTGGACCAGACGACACCTGTGCTTGGGATCATTGTCGTGCTGGAAAATGACCTCTGAGGGGGAAAGCTTGAAAAAATCGATGGTCTGTTTGAGCTCATCTTGCAAGATGCTGCGATACAGCGGCCCATCCATCCTGCCATCTATCTTGCACATGAACCCCGCCCCCTCATACGTCATGCAACCCCACACCATCACAGAACCGCCCCCATGCTTAACTGTCTGTTGGACTTGGTGGCTCCGAAGGCTGGTGCCCTCGCGAATCCAGGCGTACGCACGTCCGTCGGAGCAGTAGCGGTTTATCTTCGTCTCGTCAGACCAAATCACCCGCTTCCAGTCCTCCAGCGTCCAGTCGGCATGCGCCCGCGCGAAGTCGAGACGATCGCGGATGTTTTTCGGTGAGAGCCTGGGTTTCTTGGGCTGATGCACGGCGATCAGCCCCGCGGATCGTAAAGAGTTGCGGACCGTCTTCGAGTCTACGGCGAGATCGTGCTTCTCCAACAACATCTTGGCCGCGTCTGAAGAGCTTTTCGCCTCGCCGCTAGTAATCGCACGTATAACTCCGCGCTGGAGACGGGTTGTGATTAAGCGGGGGCGGCCGGCCGAAGGCATCGTAGGTCGCACCTCCTCGCGACTAGTCTCCTCAGCGAGTTTCATACCGTAATCGTGCACGGTGCTCTTGCCTATGCCAAGAAGTTTCCCTATTTTCCTAGTCGAATGCCCCGCACGCAACATGCTTCTGATCCTCGCGCGCTTCTTCTCATTTAACGGCTTCATAGCGATGCGGTCGTAGGCTCGCTTCCGGACTAACAACTAAGCTAGGAACTGGTGCGCGTGACGATGTACACACTGAGCGACGGGGGAAAATAGATCTACTCTTCCGCTCGGTAGGAAATGTCCACATCGACAGTCGAGTAGTAAATTTCAACCCCACTTTCCGTTAGTGTCACAATCGCGCCAAGCAAGAAACGGATGAAGCAGAACTCAAAAACCGAGTAACAGAATGGAAAAAAACGGGTGTTACTATTTTCGAAACATGTGTTGCATAACGATACGTTTCAAAGTGTTAAACATCCGGGCAATTTAATCCGCCACTGTAGGAGGACGCAGGCCAGTGGTCCTTACTGGACACACCGACGCTTCGTAGGCAGACGACGCCGAGACACTCAGGTCTACCCAGGGCTACTGCTTCAGCCTTGGCTCAGGTGCCGTCTCGTGGAGAGCTACCCGCTCCTCGTCTGTGGCGCAGTCCAGCTGTGAGGCTGAGATCTACGCTAGTGCCATGGCGGCACAGGAGCTCCGCTGGCTGACCTTCTTGCTCACTGACTTAGGTGAGCGGCCTAGCTCTGCCCCGGTCCTGTTCGCTGACAACAGGGCCATGATCCTCCTGTGTCAGGAGCCTCGACTCGAGGGCAGAGCGAAGCACATTCAGCTACGGTACTTCCTCCTGCGTGAGCTACAGCAGCGACGTCAGGCTCGCGTAGTACACTTGGCCTCAGGTGCCAACACAGCTGATATCTTTACGAAGGCGCTTGCGCCTAAAGATCATCAGCGGCACTGTGTACAGCTTGGTCTAGTTCCTGTAGCCTCTCACTTGCTAGGACCTTGACTTTGTATTGTCCTTTATATGTATACTCAGACTGGCCTTGTGTCCTCTCCCAGTGGCTGGACTAGTAGTGCCGCCCTGCTCTTGCTCTTGCCTTGTCTGTACTCCTTCTGACTGGTCTCTCAGACCCTTGTCTCAGATGTTGGACTAGTAGTGCCGCCCTGAGCTGCTTGTTTAGGACATTCCCCTATGCAGTCTAGGGGGTGTGTCAAACATGTGTACTTGTCATGTTTGTATAGACTGTATAGGGTAGTCTCTTAGAGGGTACAACCCTGAGGTTTATACTTGTGTACTCTCTTTCTATCTAACATTCAACTCTCAATTTCTGACAGATACGCGGCGGCTGCAGCTCGACGACGCCGCCGCGACACCATTACGACGCCGCCACAGCGTGGCGTCGGTGCCACGGCTGCTCGTCGAAGCTGAGACGGCAGGACTAAAAAGCCACCGTGGCATCTTGGAAAAGATGCCAAGCGGCAGGCATGCGGAAAGCCGCAACGGCGGCGATGTAACAACGAGAACGCAGCGGAAGCGTAATGAGCAGGCCCGGGACAGGCGGTCTGCTCTGTCACCATGTCGAAAACTGAACTAGCAAGCAAAGAGAAGGCCGCCATGTGATGGCGGCCGAGGTTTAGCTAGGGAGATTGACGAGAGAGAAGGGAATCGATTAGGAAGAGAGAGGAGTACAAGGAGGGGATTGTACCCTCTACAGTAAGGTTCAGTAACAGCTACCAAGCCTACCAATGATATATAACTTAAATAATTATAGCACCTAATCCCTATAAGCACATATGCGCCTATATCCGGGGGATTACGGTAAGAATTATAAGACCCCTTATTCCTTCCGTTTATACCGGTAAGACAAACCTCTAAATTCTTAGGGGGTAGTGGACAAGACCCATGGGTCTTCTATCCGGGCGAATATGGTAGTCTGAAAAAAACAGAGAAACCTAAAAACGTTGTCTGGCCAAATCAGAGAAAATCAAAATCCTTGTCTGGAAAATCAGAGAAACCCGGAAAAACCTGTCAGAAAATCAGACAATCGGACAAAAAAAGTCTGATAATTAGCACCCTGTGTAGGAGCACGCCCTTATAATTCCCAGCGTTGTAAAATGCCGCAGGCTCCCTTAGCAACCTTCACAACCGGGCCCTTAGTGCTGTCAGCGACACATTGGTGCGAGCTGCAAACCGCCTCAACAGCTGATCAGCCAGCCCTCCCCCCTGCTCCCCATCCCCTTCCCCATCCCTTTTCACGTCCACGCAACCCGAATCTTCTTCCTGCCTATCACCCTGCCCCCCCACCGTCCCTCTGCTCTTGCCTGCTTCCACGTGGCCCCCACACGCCCCTCCTTTGCCCCTGCTGCCGCCCTCCCAGTCGCGCCAGTCGGGAATGAGCAGTGAGAGCAGCGCCACCAGCTGCCTCTTGGCCTCCGCTGCTGGCATCTGCCCTAGGGCTACCCATGCCTCGCGCCGCCGCCTGCTAGACGGATCCTCGAGCACGGGAGGGTTTGCACTGGCCTCGACACATGGGCCGTGTACTGCCTGTGTCTGGGGGTAGAGGTGTGTGGGAAGGGTTCAGAGGGTGCAGGTGCAGGGGAGGGGGGAGGGGAGGGTGGGGAAGGGTGGGGAAAGGTTGTGCAGGTTTTAAATGGGGAATGGCATACAGGAACCCAGATGCACTGAATCTGAAGACTGTTTGAGGAATTATTTGAGAATTCGCAGGGGAAGGTCAACCCTCTCGTAACGAACCCATGTCTGATTCACAATACTGCCCGCCTAGCCAGATGCATGAAGGAGTGAGTGAAAGGGTCAATGAACCCCCTAGGCAAATGGCCAAGGTGTTACCAACGACTGGTCAGCTCGACCAACATGTAAACGATATGCCCTTGGAGTGGCGCGCGTCAGAAAAGAAAACGATGAAAGAATCAGGGATAATGCGGAAATACTCACGCGCATGAGTGTTAGCCCAGAAATATGGCCTTGAGTCAAGAGGCGTGCGGTTGAAAGGAAACCATGAAGAGGATGGGGACGGGTTCACGCAGGGGAGCAACAATCGTTCCGAATCGCATACCTCTAACGCGTACAGCTCGGCGCGCTTCCCGTCTATCACGAACTGCAGAGAGGCGGATGGGCCCTTCCGAATGAAGCGCATGGCCGCGCGAAATCCCGCCTCCGCCGCAGCATCGTCCGCTACGGCGGCGCTGCCACTACCCAGAGAGCCGCTGCGTCGTGCGGACAAAATAGAATCCTTGCTCGACCCCATGGAAAATTGTGCGAAAAGTAGCGAAGGAAATGCCAATGAGGCGCACAACTGATTGTGTTGTGTGATGGACTCATTCAAGATTCTCTCTCCTGGTCTATTTTGTTGGAAATATCTCAAGGACTTCAGCGTTTCTGAAGTGTAACACTGTACTCGAGGAAGATTACAGGGGAGCACGCGAGTCAACGGAGGTTACACGAGGGGGCGGACAAAGAATGCGAAAGGACTCGAAAGGTCGCAACTGGAGGTTGCGACTGACCGTTACAACATCACGGATGGTAACCGAAGCGGCAATCGAGTCGCTGTGCGACTCGATAAACCGTTCCTGTAACTGTATTCTACAACTGCTTTCTTATCTTCTATATATTGCTGTATGCTTGTTTCTTTAATCAATCACTTGTTCTCACATACTAGTACAAGGGTTCAACTGCCTCAACTTCCGCTGCACTACTCCAAGTCTCAAGTCTCTACAAGCTGGGACTTAGTCTCTGCAAAAGATCCTAAGGGCTTTTTCTCAGCCCAACATGGTATGAGAGCTGGTCGGAGACCAAACTCCCAGCAACTACGCTCCATCAACGACCTGCAACTCAACTTGATTCAACAACTCCATTGATTACAAGACATGGACAACAAGGGCAAGAAAGTCTCTACGGGCTCACCCAGCGCCCAAGAAACTCAACACGGCAACTCTGGTCTGCACACCTCAGGACTGCAGACAGAGACCGGGACTACTCAAGAAACAACGGGAAGAGTACCAGAGATGGTGACTCCGTCTCCCTCTTCAAGTGTGGACCCGAATCTCATGGAGAGATTCTTCAGCTTCATGTCACACTTCGATCAGCAGCAGCAGACAAGGACACCTGCGCACTCAACACAGAGCAATGGAGGGAATATGGGATTAGCGCCGATGAGCCTCGACAACTCATCCTTCGGGCGACACAATCAAGCGCCTACCTTTGCGCCTTATCACTCTTCACCGGGGACGTTCGAGTTCATGCCGCCCCGTGCCCAACCAACAGCAGCTGCATCACAACAAACACCAAACGAGATTTTAAGTCTCCAGGCACAGTTTTCACACGTGATTAAACTGCAGACATCATCACCGTTCAACGGACACGACTTCTTTACCTGGAGCTTCGAGTTCGAGCTGCTGATGGAGGCCGCGCATCTTCTGGGATACTTCAACGGGTCCCTGCCATTCCCAAGCAACGGCACTGGGAAGGAACAAGAGATCTTCACGTATCAGTCGCTGCTGGCGTACACGGTACTCCTGAGAAACCTGTCACCACAAGAGCAGCAGAGCATCAGAACGTATCGGAGTTATGGAAACTCCGCGGAGCTCGCATGGCACCACCTCAAGTGCCTTTACCAAGCAAACGACAGCGTGACACAAAGCAGACTCATGCAACAGCTGACAACAATACAGATGAAGACCGGGGAAAAGGCGATGCAGTATATGAGTCGCTGCCAGACCCTCCGCGACCGCCTGCTTCGGTGCGGAGGAACGATCACTGAAGAAAGCTTCGTGACACTTGTCCTCGCCGGGCTCGGGCCAGAATGGAGAACCACACGATCACTTCTTCGAGCCCACGGAAGAATTTCGGAGATGCACCTCTGCGCCGAGCTTCACGCTGAACAACAGGAGATGGATCTGTTCGAGGAAAGACAACCAAGGAAGCAACAGCAGTTAGTCTTCTACACTCAAAGAAGAAATGACAACAACTACAACCGACGCAGCAAGCAAGATCAACGCGACAACCGAGGACTCACCATCGTGCCGCCGTTCTGCCACAACTGTCAGACTTCCGGGCACTCCAAGGTCAACTGCAACCGCCCTCGCGTTTACCGTGCAGCAGACCCACAAGTCGCTTCCACTCAAGCAAGTCCTCCAAGGCGCTCTTCAACATCTGCACAACAAACACCCAACATCATCAACTGCATGGTACACATCGACAACTGCGCACCCGCTTCACCACCCACTTACGCACCAGACGAAGAGGAATTCCCGCCGCCGCGCTCGCAAGGACTTCAGGTCAACCCGACATACGCTGCAGTCGCTAACGCCGAACCCACCGGGCGGAACACCTGGTTCTTGGACAGTTGCTGCGGTCAGCACATGTGCTCCTCCGGACGCTTCGTACAACACGAGCGACGCCTCAACCGCGACGTCGTCATCACCGTCGCCAACAACGAAAACCTGAAAACAAACAGACAAGGCGTGGTTCAGTTACAATCAATGGAGACAAACGTTATTCTTCAGCTCAACAAAGTCCTCATCGTCGACAATCTGGGATACAACCTACTAAGCGTAAGCCAACTAATGGCTAAGGGGATTCACCTGGAGTGCGACTCCTTCTCCAACGAGTTCCGCCTTTACCACGGGAAGGGCGGCCTCTTCATCGGTCGTGCCCTCCTGAAGTCCGGTGTCTTCGTGTTGGACTTCGTCCCCGACCGCGGAACTGCCGACAGCGATGGCATCGTATCGTTCGCCGCCTGGACTCACCCGCCGGATCTTGATCCCGACTTCGACAGTGACGGCTTCTGGCACTCCAACACCATACCTGCAGCAGAGAGAACACGAGCATTAGCAGTTATCAGACAAGAAAGACAAGTACCCGCAAGTGTCCCAACAAAACCATCACCTGCAGTATCGGCAGCAGGACCCAGCCGAGTACCACCACCATCAACACGAGGACCGCCAACGGAGGCAGACCAACTTATGCCCGCCACACGAGAAGCTTGTCGAAGTCCCGCCTCGGTCGTCGCGTTCTTCTCCAACGCCGACATCTACCACCGCTCGCCCGGTCACCGTGCTCCCGACGACATCTGGCACCAACGCCTCGGACACCCTGCAAACAGCACAATACTTCAAACAATCCAAGCAGAGGTGTTAGAACGTAACGCCCTTCTAACGACGAGCGGCCAAGAACTTCGCCGACCAAGAGCACGATGCTTCACGTGCCCCGAAGCAGATCTTCCTCATCAACCCTTCCCATCCCATCATAATCCAAGCGCGCCTGCATATGCAACGATGGAAAAAGTCTACAGCGACATCTTGAACATGCCTCGAGACGACACGGAAGCCGACTTCAACTACGTCATCACCTTCGTCGATGCAGCAACAAGATACACTTGGCATTACAACCTCAAGACGCGCGATCAAGCCTTCGACGCCTTCACAACATGGCTCCCCATCGCCGAGCGGGAATCAGGAACCAAGCTCAAAAGCTTCCAGTCAGACGGTGCCCTAGAATACCAGTCACAACGCTTCAGGACCTATCTGGCGGAAAGAGGAATCAAGCGCCTGGTGTCCCTACCATACGCTCACCAGCAGCAGGGGGTCGCCGAACGCATGAACCGGACCTTGCAGACGACGATGCGAAAGCTGCTCCTGGGGATGAGACTGCCCAATACACTGTGGCCAGACGCGATGACACATGCAGTCCACCTGCACAACCTGTTGTCCTCGTCATCGCTCCCCAACAACGCATCACCGCACCTGCTGTGGACGGGAAAAAGGGGCAGCACAAAATTACTTCGAGTTTTCGGCTGCATGGTACAATACAGACCCCACACAGCTCGAGCAGGACGCTTCACTCAACGAGCTCGGTGGGGACTACACCTCGGCATCGCCAAACATTTTCACGCGTGGAAGATTCTCGACATACACGACAAAAATACGGTGGCATCACGTGATGTTATCTTCTACGAGAGACTGACGCTGCAGCATTACCTGGACAACATTGCCAACTCAGACGACCCCACCGACGGCTTCGCGGGCCTTCGCTCCTTCGCTGACCATGCTGCCGAGGCTGACGCAGCAGAAGAAGACGTCCCTGGAGCCTCGGAGGCTGCCGGACCACTCCCCTACTGCTCCGTACCTGTTCCACTCGATGAAGATAATCCCCTCGATAGCAACAACCTCGACACCTTTTACCACTTCGCTGACCAAGGCTACGCTACACCACACCCCGTCGACTCGAATATTTCCGAACGCATCGGGCCAAACTTCTTACCCGATCCTGAAGACGGTGATGAAGCAGCTTATCCCGAGAATGAAAACTCCCCTCGACACACAGCCACGGGACTGCAGATCCTAGGACTATGGGTCTCCGTCCAGCACCCGCCGCCGCCTTCTCCGCGCGAGCCGTCGACCCTGTCGCAGGCTCTGGGGGGGGAACATAAGGCACAATGGAAGGAAGCGATGGAAAAAGAGTTAAAAGCTCTGCAAGACCGAGAAACATGGAAACTGGTACCTGCAACGAGCATCAACGGGAAGAACATTCTCTCGGGGAAATGGGTGTACCGCATCAAGACCAACTCAGACGGCTCCATCGAACGATTCAAAGCTCGATGGGTCGTACGAGGTTTCGATCAACGATACGGAACCGACTACACAGAAACCTTCGCTCCAGTCTCCCGTCACACCTCCCTGCGCATCCTACTCGCCATCGCGGCCACGAAGAAACTACCACTACGGCAAATCGACGTTGCAAACGCCTTCTTGTACGCACCTGTGGACGCCGAAATCTTCGTCGAACAACCCCACGGATTCATCGACGACCCTTCAAAAGTATGCCAGCTGGAAAAATCCCTTTACGGGATCAAGCAAGCCCCACGGCTCTGGCAGCAGCACCTTCACGGCCGGCTCGTAAAAATCGGATTCCTACAGTTACCACATGACCAAGGCATGTACCGACTACAGAAGGGAAGAGATTACATTCTGCTCATCGTCTACGTCGACGACCTGCTCTACATCGGTTCTACCACCGACATCGTCACCTGGTTCGAAGGGGAGCTGAAAAGGGGACCTAACGCTCACGGTGTCCGACGAGGTGACGCAGTACCTAGGACTGAACGTCGTCGAAGACGACACGGCGTTCTACCTACACGCTGGAAAGTACTCAAGCACCGTCGCGAAGAAATTCGGTCTAACACCGACTGCGGTCCCAACTCCCTACCGCTACGGGAACAACAGTAGCGCCTCCACAAAACTCCCCGCGAAACAAATCCAGGAGTATCAACAGAAGCTCGGCTGCCTACTATTCGCAACAGTAACCTGCCGACCCGACCTATCCTATAGTGCGAGTCAGCT